CCTTAATTGATTATTATAAAATTTAGAGTTCACAGAATAAAGATTGCAACTCAAAAGTGCGGATTACAAATATTGAAAAGAATTACGAAATTTAAGACGAAAATATTGTAGTAATTCATCAATGGATTTCTTGTTGTATAGAGTTTCCACCATTGACAACCATTAAAAAGTTTTGAAGCTTTGAAATTAAATTTGGATTTTCAAAAACCATTATTTATTTAGATTAGGTGTTATTGCAAACAATTGAGAATATTATTTGGAGTTTATATCTCAAATTTTAGAGTGTTTTGGTGAAGATTAGACTTGATTTTGGCTGAATTTCAGATTAAACTCAAAAAAGAAGAAGAAGACATGACATACAATATACTTACGAAATTGTGTAAAGTTGTAGTAAAATTATAGGTAAATTGTATTCTGTTGTAGTTATATATATTTTTTTATTTGAATATTGTATGAAAGTTGAAAAATAGTTGTATTATGTATGAATCGTTGTATAAAATTTGTATTTAAGTTATCAATACTATCTTTTTACATAAAGTTGTTGATGTGTATCAAAATTGTATTAAGAGAGTAAGTTTGATTGAAATTTTAGAGAGGAAGAAGCACACACCACACACAAAATATATACAAATCAGATACAAAATATACAAAAGACATATTGTATAAAATTTGTATAATAATTGTATTTAAGTTGTATGATATTGTAGTTGTATTTAATTGGGTATAAATAATGTATGAAAATTGTAGATAAATTGTAGATTAGTTGTAAATAAGTGTATAATGTATAGTTAGTTATAATTCAATATTACAAAATCAAATGCAATGTGACTAATTCAATATTACAAAATCAAATGCAATGTGACTAATTCAATATTACATTCCAAGTCGCAATTGACTGTAATTTCATTGAGGGTAAAATTTGATTAATGTAATTTGACCAAATAACTTGTGACTATAATTGTCAAAAATATCTAAGTTCAAAATGTCTCTGTGCCAATTCTCAGTACTAGTACTGAGTATTGCCATTTGTCTAAGTAATAAGGAGCCCTATTTTCAAGTTAGTTATGTGATAGACCTGCAGGCTTTTGGTGCTTATGATGTAATTTTGATTTTCTCCGCGTTACGAAAAGTAATGCATGTTTAAGAAAATTAATTGTGTTAAGCTGATAGGATAATCAGATAAATATTATTTGTTGCAAGACATTTGCTAAAGAAAAATTTCGTGATGCTTAATTGTGTGAATATTAGAGTTAAATGCCAAGTGTTGATATGTCAAACATCACTAGTTTCTCAAATTATACATGGGGAGGCAACTAGATTTTATCATCATACAACTATTTTTTAACTTTCATACAACATTCAAATAAAAAATATATATAAATACAACAAAATATAATTTACCTACAATTTTACTACAACTTTACTACAATTTCGTAAGCATATTGTATGTCATGTCTTCTTCTTCTTCTTCGTCTTCTTCTTCTTCTTCTTCTTCTTCTTCTTCTTCTTCTTCTTCTTCTTCTTCTTCTTCTTCTTCTTCTTCTTCTTCTTCTTCTTCTTCTTCTTCTTCTTCTTCTTCTTCGAGTTTCAATATGAAATTCAGCCAGAATCAAGTCTAATCTTCACCAAGCACCCTCAAAATTAAGATTTAAACTCCAAACAATATTTTCAATTGTTTGCAATAACACCCAATCTAAATAAATAATAATATTTGAAAATCCAAATTCGAATTTAAAGCCTTATGATAGATTAGTGTTCGAATCTTTAATTCCTACGACCTGGAGGTTACTTCAACAGGTTGATTCTTACCTTATTGAGAGAGAAAAACGGTGAGAGAGAAAGATGAAGAAAGAAAGAAAAATTGATGAGAGATGCGGCAGTAAGGAAAGAGGAGAGGAGAAAAAAAAGAAAAGAATGTAACTAAATCCCCTAATTCAAGGCACTAATAATGGATTGTATATAATTTATAAGTAATCTTTGTTTATGGTGGGTAATATACAAAACTAGGACAATTTTGATAAATAAGTTTCAAATATTATATAGGAAGAAAAAAATCTCTTTTGAAAATGGACTGTTTTGAGCTAGCCCAAGTTAACCCATAAAATATCATCAGCCCAAATGGACCCATGATGATCCCCAACCTTGACCCATGAAAATGCTCAATCTTAGAGTTCTACTTTGACCCATGTGCTGGAAAATATTTTCTAATTTTTCCATGTTTGGTTGGTTTAAATATTTGAAAAATATTTTCTTTATGAATTCGCTTTTCTCCAATTGTAGGAAGATATTTTTTCTATCAAGAGAAGGGAAAATATTTTCCAAAATTAACTGTTGTTGACAAAAATAATCATCAAACATGAAAAAAATCTAAAAATAAAGAACAAACACATTATCACAACAGAAAAAATAATAAATAAAATTTATATCAATATATAAAGGACGGGTACTGAGTTATTTTTTAGGTATCACAATAAAATAAAATAAAGTACTCCCTTTATTAAAATGAAAGAAAATACTTTTCCTAAAACATGAGAAGAAAATATTCTTTTTGTTGAAATAAAAGAAAATACTTTTTCTACAACAGGAAAAGAAAGTACTCATTTTGTGAAAAAGAAAATACTTTTTCTACATCATGAAAAGAAAGTATTTTGTTGAAACAAAAGAAAATACGTTTTCTACAACTTGAAAAGAAAGTACTCATTGTGTGAAAAGAAAATACTTTTTCTACATCATGAAAAGAAAGTACTTATTTTATTAAAATGAAAGAACATACTTTTTCTACATCATGAAAAGAAAGTACTTATTTTATTAAAATGAAAGAACATACTTTTTCTACATCATAAAAAGAAAAATATTTATTTTGCTGAAATTATTAGGCAGAATACTCTATTTACAATATTAAAAGAAAATACCTTTTCTACAACAGGAAAAGAAAGTACTCAGTTTGTGGGAAAGAATTTTTTTTCTACATCATGAAAAGAAAGTACTCTTTTTGTTGAAACAAAAAAAAATACTTTTTCTACAACACGAAAAGAAAGTACTCAATTTGTGAAAAGAAAATATTTTTCTACATCATGAAAAGAAAGTACTTATTTTATTAAAATAAAAGAAAATACTTTTTCTACATCATAATTTTTATTTTATTTTATTGAAATAAAAACGAAAATACTCTATCTACAACATTAAAAGAAAGTACTCTAAATAATATTTCTATTTAGGGGTGGGATGGAGGTTCAGCGGTAGGGTGGGGGTTGGAGTGGTGGGAGGTGGGTTG